AATAAAATAATTTAATTTTGATTTAATTTCATAAATTAAATTATTCAAATTTTCTTATATATATTACATTAATATATATTATTAATATTATAAATTTATGTTATTAATACAAACGTCAGAAAATGACATCTCGTGAAGGTGACATATCAACTATTGACGTCATTTTTGAATCTTATGAGACCTAACTTTAGGACGTCTAATTGGTTATTTTGTGACCAAAATTTACTGTCATTTTGCTACTTGGAATCGAGACCTTTTAAATGTTTAAATCCATTTAAATGTACCATTTTATATAAATGTCTAGAAACTGCTCGATTTCTGCTGTCAATCTGCCGTCAGATTGCGCGCAGGCTCTGCGTGATTTTTGCTGCCAATCTGCTCATATTGCCTGTCAGCAGGCTCTGTCTACAAAACCTGAGCTTAATGTGGTCACAGATGGCTATGGTTTCGGCATGGAATTCTGATTAAATTTGCTGCCAATCTGCGCGCATGCTGCTAGCATTTTGCTATCTGGGATTTTAATATAATATATATCATTAATATATAAATTTTTTAATAGTAATTATTACGCCATGTGTATTGATATTTTATATGTATAATAAAAATATATGTAACTACTGCCAATTATTAATAAGCATAAAATAAAGTATCGATTATATTTTTGGCCATTGTTGCAGACATTTTCAGAGAGAGAGATCCAGATCAAACCAACACAGCCACATTTACGATGGAAGAATGGATAGAAAAAACGCTCTATTCATAATATATAAATTTATATTTATCATAATTTACTTTCATTTTAAACCCGAGAAGTTTCCTGATAATAATTTAACAATGGGCAATCGTAAATGAGCAGTATTTGTTGACATAGAAAGCAACATTCCTTAGAATATTTCAAAACGAGATTCTAATACAAAAATGTTGAGGCTATAATAGTTTTTAAACGAGAAGCAATTATATTTTACGAATGACAGGGCTGAGATTTTGCGCGCTCAGGCATGGCGAAATGACAAGTGAAAAAAATGCTATAAATGGAGAGCCTTTTCTATGATATTATAATTATCGTATAAATTTACAATAGCATTGTCATTATATGTTTTCCCGCTTCTTACGCATTGCATTAGTACATTCTTTTTACGAATAATGCAAGAACTAAAGGCATCTCAAAAATGACTCAATTAAAAATTTGCGACATATTTCAACTTCAGCTATCAAAGTGGTCGATCAATGAAGTTACCATGAAAGTATCTATTATTTCGTCGTTTCCATGGCTCTCTGACACTCTTATAGCACTTATACTGAACGGTGGCAAAATAATGACGCCGGCCACTACGTGGCGCTAGTAGGATATCTTGTCCGCTAAGGTTATATAATATATGAGAAGATATATAAGAAGATATATAATAAGAAGATTAAGTCATGAGCCCCGATTACCCATAATGCAATGCAAAGAATCAATGTGTGAGCAGTCGCTATTGAAAAGAGGTGCTAAATAAGGTAGACTGTTATTGGCTCACACATTGATTCTTAGCATTGCATTATGAATAATCGGGGATCATGATTTAACCTTCTTATACAGGGTGTCCGACAAGTAAGTGACCAAACGAAAGGTGGAGGTAGATTGGGTCAAACTGAAAAGTCCTGAACCATCTTTTTTTATAATGCTTAATAAAGGAGTTATTATTGTTTAAGTCTGTCCAATCAGCGCCGACCTTTAGCCGCGCGCTTGGTAATGTGCGTGAGCGCTCCGTCGCTACGGCGACGCACACTATCAGGCGGGCGGCTCACTGAGTGCGTCCGACTAAAAGTCGACGCTGATGGGCCAGACTTTACTCAATAATAACTCTTTTATAAAGCCTTATAGAAAAAAATAGTATAGGACTTTTCTTTTCAGTTTGACCCATTCTACCTCCACCTTTCGTTTGGTCACTTACTTGTCGGACACCCTGTATATAACCTTGTCCGCTTCAACTTCAGAATTCAGAATCCGCGTTTCGATTAATTGTATTTGAGAGTGAAATATGCGTACATTAATGTTTGCGTACATTAGGGTAAGTTGAAGTAAGCCGGCCATGAAATAAGCGCGCGAAATCTCAGCCTTATCATTCGTGAAATATAATCGCTTCCCGATTAAAAACTATTATAGCCTCGACATTTTTGTATTAGGATTTTCGTCTTGAAATGTTCTAAGGAATTTGCCATTAAGAGGAAGTACGATAGTTTTAGGACATCCTGTATATATATCTACATGTATATGTATAAAATTTCCTCCTCTGTGCATATTATGTGTGCATGTACGTGTGTAATGTGCACACAAGCCTATTAACTCTCGCTTCTTCAAACTGATCCCAGTAAACACAAAGTAACAGCAATATAACATCAATGTTATAATTTCCCACTTAACAATGTAACTGCAATATAACATGCGATATATATATATTTAAAAGAAAAAAATTATCTTTATATATATGTACACATATTTTTGCAGTTTGCGATTATGTTAATTTGCATATGTAAAAAAATTATATGCATGGTACTGTGTGCCTTAACATGTTCCACACAATTTCAGCGTTACTAAAATATACAATTAAAATATATGTAATTTATTGAAACATGTGTGTGTATAAGCTAGTCTATAATTTGTGCAAATTTTCAATTTGAGTAAAACATGAAACAACAATTATAATATTTTAATAATTTTATTTTTCATTTTATAAAACTAATAGCCATATAATATATGTAATGAAAAGAAAATAAGTGCCCATAAATGTGTATGGTCAAATGTTGCAAAATGCACAATCATAAATATTATATTTTTTTATCAACATGTTGCATCCATACTAAATAAACTTTGTACTTATGCATTGTGTTTCTATTATATACATTTCCAACAGGAAATTATAAAAGATGACAGACATGTTTGTCATTACAGATTCTTTGGCCTGTTTGAGAATCTTGAGATGTTTTTTTTTAGATGAAACTCAAAGCATTCATAGTTTTTGAATAATTAACGTTTAAATAATTTAATTTATATTTTTAAAAATATAAAGAAAAAAAGCGTCTTTATATGTACATATATGAATTAAGGTAGTTGTCTCGCAAATCGCAATTAACAAGAAAAATTTGGAATATTAACTATACATTCCCATACAGCACAGAACATTACGAAAAACAGTATTCGGTAATCGCTAGTTCGTTCATTTACCGCTATGCGGCGCGCGTTGCGTTATCTATCCCGCATTTAAATTTTAGTCACACATACGATGATTATATAAAGCTTGCAAAGAGCGTCTAGTAAGATTAAAGGTATAATAACTATTTTTATCAGTTTAATTTGTCTGATACGACCCCAACACAGGGAATTCAGATATTGAACTGATTGTTCAGAAATCGGACAGATAAATAAAAACCTTTCTAGAAACAGTCAAATATTGAATAAACGATAGAATACTCGTTGGTAAATTATATCTATTAAGTTTGTTTATTAATATATCGCTTAAAACATTATCATATGCTGATTTAATATCTAGGAATGACGCTGTCGTAAAATGTTTACGATTTTTGGCCAAAAGAATATTCGAGCATAATATTGAAAGATCGTCTATGTAGGACTTACTTCGTCTGAACCCAAATTGCGAATCCGGGAGAGCGTTTATTATTTCACACCACCAATCGAGTATTACATATCATTCTTTCCATTACTTTACACAAACAAGCAGATAAGGAGATAGGCCTGAATTTATTTCTTGATTCATCTTTAGGAATGAAAAAACCAAGTATTCCTTCCATTCTCCCGCGGGTAAGTCTGAAGATGGAAAAATCTATTATATAGATCCAGAAGAATATTTTTGGCCGATTCTGGAAGTTTTGATATGATGAAATAATCTATTCCGTCAATGCCTGGACTTGATCTCTTATCGACATGTCCTATTGCCATCTGAAACTCCTCTTTCGTAAAAGGGGTGCCCAAGAAAGAATTATTATCAACCTCCCCTAAGGGAAGATTTGAAGGACTAAAGCTCGTATCAGACTACGCATTGAAAATTGAGATTCAAGATTGAAATTTGATCAATCACAACAAAGAAATTTTAGTCCCTTTTGTTTTGATTAGTCGAATTCCAATCTTTAATCTTCAATCTTCAATTTTCAATGCATAGTCTGATACGGGCATAACAGCGGTCCATGATGGGAACAAACAGTCGACTTGTTCCGCAATCACTTCTAAAACAGATGGGTCGTATTTATTAGCAGTTTCTGAAAAATTAAAACGATTCTTAAAACATTTAACCTTCCTTCAAATGTATGAAGGATTTGAGTCTTTACGTAAATTATTGCAAAAATTTATAGAATTATCTTTTTTAGCTTTTTTCAGGCCAACTCTTGCTCTTGCCTCTGTTTTTTTATATTCCAAGAAATCTTCTCTTGATTGGGAGAATTTAAATTTAATTAGGACAGCCCTTCTAATTCTTATAAGACGATCACAATCTTTGTCCCACCATGGACAAAGTGGTAGCGATGTCCTCTTATATCTGTTAAGCCCGTCCCTGCCGAAAATGTTCGATTAAAACCGATTAAAACATAATCCGTTTTAATCGGTTTTAATCGGTTCAATCCGCGCCCGGATTAAAAAGTAATCAATTTAAATTCCGAACGAATTATAATCGGTTTTAATATCGCTTTCGCGGATTATTTCCAATCCGAATTACTCGCACAGAGCATAGCGCTCTCTTTCGTCATGCTACGTGCGAGCGAGAGAGAACGCAAGGGGCACGAAACAGAGTATGTCCTTTTCTACGTGCACCTCGGCTCCCATTCCTCAACACTCGGTCTAGATATACTATGTTTATGGTCACAGATCTTTTCCACGGGAAGCATAGGCAATTCCCCTTCCAGGTATATATGTTCTAAGATTCTATGTCTATGACACACGAAAGCATGAGCTCTCGTCCGTGTGTGCTCGACGCTCGGCCAGCTTCGGGATATAGAAGAAGACAGGTATATCTTCTTTTGTCTCCTTCTCTCTTGAGGTGTAGATATAGCGTAGTTACATGAACCTCGAGATCTCGAGCTGGCGAGTTGGCTATACGACATCCCTGCCGAAAATGGTCGATTAAAACCGATTAAAACATAATCCGTTTTAATCGGTTTTAATCGGTTTTAATCGGTTTTAATCGGTTTTAATCGGTTTTAATCGGTTTTAATCGGTTTTAATCGGTTTTAATCGGTTTTAATCGGTTTTAATCGGTTTTAATCGGTTTTAATCGGTTTTAATCGGTTTTAATCGGTTTTAATCGGTTTTAATCGGTTTTAATCGGTTTTAATCGGTTTTAATCGGTTTTAATCGGTTTTAATCGGTTCAATCCGCGCCCGGATTAAAAAGTAATCGATTTTAATTCCGAACGAATTATAATCGGTTTTAATATCGCTTTCGCGGATTATTTCCAATCTAAAATCATTACATTCTAATCCATATTGTTGTCAATCCAAATAAACACGAATAATCGAATGGATATTGTGGCTGCCGTAGGTCGTCACATTAAGCACAATCCGCGATACGATAGTGCGACCCGCAATTTGGCGGCCCACGCGCTCGCGTGTCCGCGCGTAGTCCCGGGCGGCGCCGCTACGCGGCGAAGGTTAAGCGAGCCAACCTGGAAGTTGAAAGCGGTCAAGCGGGGATATAAGGCGGACCCTCTGCGGAGAAATCGTATATTTGTTTTTAACAACTGAGTCCGTTTCAATTGTAGAAACACCGATTCAATAATTGATTGTGACTCATGATAACAGCAAATCCGACTTCACACTACATAAAATCAATTTACTTTTCATCTGCGAAATGATAAAATTTTTTATTAAAAGGGATTATTTTTACCTATGGATTGACTATGGTAAATTCCAATTCAATTGCAATTAAAACCGATCTAATTATAACTTATGAAATCGTATAATTTCGGATTGAGGTGGATGTATATCACCCAACATTAATCCGCCTGAAGCGTACTAAAATCGATTTGACTATTTTCAATCGGTTTTAATACCGCATTTTCGGTGCAGAAATCTCGATCGATTCGGATTACTTTTTTTTAAATCAGTTTTAATCAAACATTTTCGGCAGGGGTATTACACTACGCATTGAAGATTGAGATTCAAGATGGGGCTCGATTCTTGAATTCATTCGCAAGAGAAACGTATGCGCACATTCTGCTCTTACAGAAAAATTGCAAGTTGATTGGCTATTGCATGGCTTTTAGCCAATCAAATTGTAGATTTCTCATAAGAATGGAATTTGCGAATACGTTTCTCTTGCGAATGAATTCAAGAATTGGGCCCTTGTAACGGAATTCTCTAACGTCTTATGGCCCTCGCACACTGGACGCGATGAGCGATGAATTACGGTAAGATTATCGAAAACTATTTTACGAGATATTTTATTTTTTCTATTAATAAAATATGTCAGATTAAGATATAAAATAACTTGAAAAATACTTAATGAAGAAATACTTTATTATAGTGTTTTGAAAAGGTCTCAAGAAGAGTTCTAAGAATATAGAATAAAAAATAAGGGATTTCATTTAAAAAAAAAAGTTGATCTTGAAATGATCTCTAAATTTGACTCCAAGATCAAGGTCAAGGTGATTATCAAGTGCCTCACTTTGAATCCTGCTACTTTTATATTTCACATTTTTTTCTATCCCACTCCTGAGATATTTCAGGGGTCCGGGACTTTTTCCCCATCCTGTATACAGTATTTTTCTCGACATAATCGTCATTCGAATTGAGGCACAAGCTTTTATCCTTATCAAAGTATATTACTATCAAACTAGAATCTCAGCCAACTCCTAGCACTGCTTATCACATTAGGTCTTCATTGCCTTCGAATCGCTGCATTTTTCACTACATTTTCATACATGTGAACAGTTGAAAATCATTCAGTGCAAGGTCCAGGCGTCCAGGCTGTAGAATGGAAAATCGAACTCCCATTGCTCCAGAAGTTTCGATAAGAGTTTTTTGACAGATTTTTCGCATGAAAATGGAAGATTCTTATAAACGCGCGTTTTTCGAAATGTGAATTTAATAATGGCTTTATTTTTTATAGTTATTTACAGTTTGTAGTATCATTAAAAGTTAAGCATTAATATATACAATAATATTTCTACTGTCGATATATATTTCTCATATAGAAAAAGTAAATACATAATACTAAAATTTTATGTTTCTTCTGCTTTCAATTCTTCAATGAGCCGTTTGCGTTCCTCTGCTCTTCTTAAATTAGATAATACTTCAAATTCTGCATCTGACATTCTATATTTTACTTGCGCCTGTACAATATGAAAATGTTACATAAGATTATTATCATAATATTTTAAACAGTAATTTTGCTTCTATTACAGTGAATTTAACTAATACATACAAATATGTCAGGTGCAGAAGCAAAGCTGAGAGGTTTGCTTATTTCATTTTTCAAATGTGTGCCTGCAGGAGATAATTGTCCAATATTAGAATTAGCACTTGAATGTTTTTGTGGTCCATTCCATAGACCACGAAGTTTTAGTGGGTTTTTGATTAATCCAATCTGTGTTAAAAGAGCTGTTTCCTGAAACAAATATTTTTATTAAAGAATTTTATTATATAAAATTATATGACATGATTGTTCTATTGAAAAGCATCATACTTACTGCTGCACTTTTATCTTCAAATTCTACCATTGCTGTGCCTCTTTTTGCAGATGACACAACAAGTGCTACTATGTCTCCATACTACGAAAAAAATCGAAAATAAGAATACTTGAAAGGTATAACTATAGTTTTGGAACTGAATGATTAATAATTACTTACTTTTGAAAACATTTTATATAGAACATCATGATTATATCCACCATTGGATGGATCATCTTCTTGTGTATGCCATCTAATTTTGATTATAAAACTTTTTGTATTAGATTCCTTTTTATCAAATTCCTTGCACAGATTTTGCATCCGTTGTTTTTGTATCAAAGCCTCCTCTTCTAGCAGTTTTTCTCCTTCCTTTTGTAATTTTTCTATTTCCGTCTATAAATAATTATATATTTTACAGATCTCTGTGGTTAATAATGTAAGAAATATTATAATTTTAAAGAAATTGATTACATACTTTCATTCGTTCCTCGTCAGATTTTGCTCGCTTAAAAGTCTCCTCTCGAGCTTCCAAATCGTCTTTTAATTTTCTTCTCTTGGCATCAAATTCTCTACTACGTTCCTTTGCTCGTTTTTTTGCAGCGATACTTTCATCATATGCCGCCTTGTTTTATAACAAAACATTTTAATAAATTAGATTAGTTACGAAACTTTCTTGAAGTCTAAGAACAAATGTGTTTAATGATGTTGATAATACAAATACATTTCCTATTTGGAAATCAACTTCTGGGATGCAAAATAAAATAAAAAACAGGAAAAACATTTCATTATACACAAAAATTACTTCTATATGTACACTACTTTTCTGGACATAATTGTCATCCGAATTGAGGCATTTGTCGTAATGCGGCACAAGCTTTTACTCTTATCAAAGTACATTGCCGCCAAATTAGAATCTCAGCCAACTCTTAACACCACTCATCACATCAGCTCTTCATTGTCCTCGAATCGCTGCATTCTTAACTACATTTTCATATGAACAGATGAAGGCATTATGTGCAAGATCCAGACTGCAGGATGGATGATAATTTATAAATGTCACATTTGTAATTGTATGAATATAGCACGTTATGGAATCAGCTACTGGCAGATATTTTAACAGACGAATAAAACGTTTTTTAATAATAGAATTATCTATGATTTATTTGTAAATACAAATATATATTTGTAAATCAATACGTAAACCAATATTAAATTATTTTATTTTTTATATCAAACAACATATTTTTTATATTAAACAACATTTTTCATATTAAAACATTTTAAAAAAGTTAATAAAAACAACTTTTAAAAAACTGCACGAAATTCATCTCTCTTTTTCTATTCTACTGGGCAATAAAGAAACTTAAATTGTATTTCGAATTATTTTTATTTTACAGTTTTCAGTTATTATATTTGTTGTTTACAAATATACATATAAATATCAGTCATATAATATATAATAATAATATTAAATCCAAAAAGAATATCTATAATTAACTACATTTTCATATGAACAGATGAAGGCATTATGTGCAAGATCCAGACTGCAGGATGGATGATCGAACTCCCATTGCATTGCTCCAGAAGTTCCGATAGAGATTTTTTGACAGATTTTTCGTTTGCATAAAAGTATGGCTGAGAACACAGCAATTCAAAGGTAACAAAGAATTAATAAGCAATGCTAAAATTCCAATTTGGTGCCACCATACTTTGATGAGGGCATACATAAAAATTTATGCCACAATACCACAAGTACCTCACTTTGAATGACAATTATATTAAAAAAAGTATATATATA